TGTAGCAGTGAAACCAACCTGGTTAATCCAGTAATGGGAAAAGTATCTGTCCCCTTCCTAATTTTTTCAAGTTTCACTACAGCTCATAGAATAAATGCTGTTTGCAGACAGTCAAGCAAACTATAAGCAATCTCAGCAACCTTGCTGACGACCAAAGCAACAACATTTTTGGTGCAACACCCTCTTTGCAACCAATTTTCCCCTGGGACTGTCTGCATCTGTCATTTTACAAATGCGCAGTGAGTGCAGTCTCTGTGCCCACTACGCTGTCTGCAATGGTGAGCAGGATTACACTCACCCACAATTGGCCCCACGTCTAGTCCACGCTCGAGCAGTTCATCCCTCAGGCTCTTGTCACTCAGCGCAGTCACATCAAGCTCAGTCGGTCGAACCTTGTCTGTTTTCCTGGTGGCTTTCTGTGGAAAACAGCAGGGCAGCACACAAAACAAACGATCAGAGCCAGAACGGAGCCAGCAATAGATTTTTTTTTTAGCCTGAAGGCAAATAATCACAAAGTAATGACTGACAAGAGTCACCTAACACAGTTTCATTTTCAAAGAACCAGCACACACACTGCTAAGTTCACCGAGCCATCAAAAATAAATAAATAAATTTAAAAAAAAAATACTTAGACGTTAAGCAACATTAAAAATGAATACTGAATTATATACTCAGTTGCAGTGCCAGGCTCACACAGACACACACACCTACAGCTGGAATAGTTAGCGTGCATCATGTTAAACTTTAGGACTGTCAGAGGTCAGTAAAGCTGCTGATTCAACAACACTCAAATATTAAATTATTACCATAAACATTAACACTAACCATTGACAATTCCGATGTTTCCATGTGTTGTTATGTATTCGTATTGGTTAACAGACTTCAGTGAACAGGATTTACAAAGGGGTTATACATACAATAAAGAAGTTACCCGTTTTGCAGGTACCTTTATGACTCTGTGTTACTGTACCAACATGATCCCTAATCCAACCAATCTGTTGTTGGTCACTTAAAATATCTTTGTACATCTATTGTTATATATGCTTCTTTCTCTCCCTGAAGCTGATTTTATGGTCAAAGGTAGCACCTCCTCTCTGCCTGCAGACAGCTCTGTGGTCAGATGGAGGCAGTGTACAGTCTGTGGGCCACTCTGCTTGTGTTGTTGGTAAGTGAAGTTCTAAACCTGACAGTGCTGAAGTGAAACTCTGTGTTAGAAACAAGGAAACATATCGCTGCAGTCACTGCCTGTGCTTTTAGTGCTGGATTTCTTTCTTTTTTTTGCAGTTCTCTCCCTCGTGCTGAACCCCACTATCGCTCCTTCTCTATTCTGGCCCAACATTTTGAGACAATTATGTCATCTGGTTCAGGTGATGTGTAGTCAGGATCTTGGAAGACTGCACAGGATGGGTGAAAAGCCCTCTCCCCCCCGGAATAGTGTAGCAGAAGGACTCTGCTCATAACATGGGAACTCATGTGAACGACAGAAGTCAAACTGCAGAAATTTTCCAGAGCAGAAAGGTGGTTACCACCTGTAACGTTCTGGATAACACTGCTGTCACTGCACATAAGCAAAGCCTTTTTCAAAAATCCAGGAGTAGTATGCAGGAAGATTCGTTATTTTATGAATACTTCATTCCTAAACCACCGTTGAGCAGATGTGAAAACTTACTCATGTACACAAACACGTTCTTTAATTTCCTGAAAGGAAGCTGCCACAGGGGAAATATTTAGGGAGGAGAATGGGACCGTCTGAAGATACTGGAGGCGCTTCATCATAGTCTGAAGTTTTACTTAGCAGCTGACAGGAAATTACTTGTGAGGCCAGCATAGTGGCATGCTGCTGTGTCTCCTAATTAACAAAACTAAAGGCAGCTCTGCCTTGGAGCAAATCAAATAAGCGTACAGTAAATATGTTGCTGAATGCAGCAGCGACATCATACTTCTGAAGACTCAACAGGACAGCTGTCGATAGCTTGTTGGTGGACAGGAACCCTCAGCTTTCTTCTTAGCTCTGGGTTAAGCACCTGTGACAAGTTAGGCGCTACATGGCTCCAAAGGAGCGTACATGTGTGTGTTGAATGCACAGCTATAAAAATGTGACTCCTGGTTACTGAAGTAGAATTTACGGTCAAGCAGAGCGACCACATTCGCTGTCCACTGTACTCCACGAACTGCTGTCTGTCTGCAGAACGAGAGCAAAGCTCTAACATACAAAGAGCTGAAGTGAAACTCTGTATTAGAAACAATGACAATTGTGAAACAGCTGGATGTGAACCCAGCTGTTTCACAATCACAGCAGCAGCTCCAAAGACTGCAAGAGTAGGAGGAGGAGGAGGAGGAGGAGGAGAAAAGTGCCTCTGCAGACCACACCCTGGCCTTTACAGCCATAACTGAACTAAAGAGCTCACAGCTCTGTGGAACAAACTCACTGTGGACTCTCAGACTCTTCACAGAGTCCTGGACAGACGCTCACACATTCCTCACACTTTACAACAATCCATCCAAATCTCATTCAGACCAACATCTAATCTGAAAACATGAAGCTTTGCAGACTCGAAGAGTCACAGCGAGTATCCTCTTTCATGTCAGTCACTGAAAAATGTCAGGAATTCATTTTTGGGCACCTCCCTTTGCAGCCTGTAATCCCTCAGGTATGTGAGCAGCAGCTTTCACAAGATAAACGGCATCAACACTCTAGTGCCAAGACACCAACTATGCTGAGTCTGAGCATGAGTTCTTCCTAGCAAAAGCATTTCCTCAATGTTCACAATGATAATGTAAGCAGCTGCAGGAAAACATCTGTCTGCTCCACCACCTAAACCATGAAACCGCACTAAACACTCACTGCAAGAGCCACAGCACATGGTGGCTCAGTTATAATAATGGATTGGATTTATATAGCGCTTTTCAAGGCACCCAAAGCGCTTTACAATGCCACTATTCATTCACTCTCACACATCACCTCTGCAATTATTATACTCTTATTGAAACATCAGGCCTTTGGACAACATGGAAATGTGTACTTTTTATAACTAAACTACATACTAGTATCATCTAGTACTGCCTGTAGCTTTAAAGTGGGCACACATCCCACTCACTTTAAAAGTGGAAACGTGTAAGATGCACTGTTTCTGTTACAACCTGAACTGATCATCAATCTGCGTCACAGCCAAATCCAGCTATTTCATGAGAAACCCGCTAAAAAACAGGCTGGAGTGCCAGCCTCCCCAAGGGACAAAGCAGGAGGGCTGCTTCAGGAAGGATACCCTGCAGACTTCAACACCGCCTCCTGGTCTATAATAAAATGCAAAATAGTAGTGTCACTCCTGTTTTCAGACACTTTGCTCTGTCAGACCTGAACAGACATCAGTTCGAACACCTGCCAGTTTGTCCTATTTCCTCCTCAGCATCAGAACAAATCTCTTCCTGACTGAGTGCATGGCCTCTAACCTCAAACTCTTTATCCCACCCACAAAAACGAGTAACCGCTGTGCACATGAACGCGCTGATGCAGAGCTGAAAACTATCAAAAGGCTCTCGTTCCAGTTCAATGTAGTCGGCAGAAACCTTCATTCACAGACCTGTGTCTGTGTCTCTGTCTACATCTTTTCTGTATCTGCGCTAAAACTTTCTTCTGCGTCACGATGGAGAGTCCCCAGCTGCTGCTGCTGGGGGATTAGTAAGGATGGGGCTGGAACTGAAGCAAAGAAGGAAACTCTGTGGGGAGGTGAGACCTGTGAGACTGGTTTGTGGGAAGTGATCTGGATTTGCTCTGCGATTCATTCACGAGACTGCCTTATACTTTCAATCGGAATGACGTTTCCAGTTATGTCTGTGAGGAGAGAGCGCACGTTTCAATGTGAGCCGTGTCCGATGGATGTGTTCTGAACATCCGAAACTATGCTGCGAACATTTACAGTAGTTAACAGACGACGAGTTCAGAACGTGGATTTTGGTGGCTGAGTAATCCTGGTGGGTGTGGAAGTGTGCAAATGAGACGGGAGTGGGAGAGCACTTACTCTACCGGAGGAGCGGCTGGTGTCAGGCAGCGCAGGCGGAGGCAGCTCCTCGTCGCTGGAGAACGAGTCCGCAGCTGCAGCCGCGGGGCGTGTGCTTTGGCCGGCCAGCTTCGTAAGATACAGCTGCACGTACACGTCCTTCGTGGGGTTGCCGCTCGGGAGCTCCACGTTGTTGGCCAGCAGCTCGCTCTTTAGCTTCTCCTTGGTGAGCACAGAGGGGTCGCCCAGGTACTCCGGCATGTCGGCGAGAAGACGACCGGGCAACGGGTCAGCAAGTAACAGCTAGCAGAAAACAGCGGAGCCGGTGATGGCGGATCGGGAAACCAGCGCCGCCCACTGGACCGAACTGGCAGAGTAGTGTGTGTGTGCTTCAAAGAAGCACGTGGATATGAGCTGCTGTTTATCCTCTCGCTCCCTCCTCCTCTCGGGTAAAGGAAGGAATTAAAGTGGGAAGAAATGAGGAATGCTGCACGGTCCTGACCGGAAGTGGCAGTTGGTAAAGCCCACCTCCTTCCGCTACAAGCTGGGACTGATCAGAGCCAGAGGCTCAGTCACTGCGCAGAACTCATGCCCAGTGAAATCCAGCTCTTCATTCACAGACTGCTCACTGAGGAACTGGATACAGGAACACCATTAGATGTAATGTGATCATGTTAGACACGAAGATCCTTTTGGGTTCTGTCACTGAAAATTTGCTCAGATGTCACAGTTATGGATATTTTTGTGCTTCCTAGTTCACACCTGATGATCAGCTCTGTTGCAGAAGTCAGCCAGTGCTACATTATTTTATAGATTTAATTCTCTGAAACTGATGAACTATTGTTTACTCAATACAAAAAGTGTAGTTAGCAGAGAAACTCCCAGACCTTCCTCACCAGCAAAAGTTATGGTTATGTTCTTTTCAGCATCTGGAGTGTGTATTTACAGTAAGCCTGCACATTTGGCAGGCGCGATGGTCAAGAAATAAAAGCTCAAAGTCCCTTTTTCTTTGTGCATTACTTTCAAATAAAAGTGTAATGCTCCGTTTATTTCATCACTGTGCACAAATGAAGACAGAAACCAAACAAGAAATAATCTCCTCTCCTTTGTCACAAAACAATATTAGCTTTGATTTGGACACTTTAGAACAACTTTAGATACTCAAGCAGAACACTGTAAAATACTCAAAGCAATGCTTCTTTAAGAAATGAAAGCCTCAGAACTTGAGCACTAACTCATTTATTCCTGTAACCATGAACAGAAAACAAGCCTTGGTCCAGCTCATCAAACACCTCAACACTGAAACCAAAACCGATGATGATGACGACGTCGTGCAGTTTGGGGTTGGCGGCTCTACATTAATAGAAGTTAGAAGACAGACAGAAGTGGGCTGATCAGAGAGAAAGCAGGCAGCAACGAGCTCACACTCACAGCTCTACTGCTTCACTCTGCAGCCCATGCTGTCCATGGACTGTCGGTGTGCAGGTGAGTGGACTGATGCTGTGACAGACAGGCCAGTCTTAGTGTCCACATCAGTTCTGATGGATGAAAATGCTCTGGACTTGGCTCCTTTCGTGGATCTCGTTGAGGCTCCAGAAGGCGACGCCCTCTCCTCAGGCTTTGATCTCAGGGGTGGAGGTGTACAGCTGCTCAGGGTTCTCACTCCCCAGGTCCTCTGAGAAGGAAGTGAAGAACAATGTGATACATGACAGTGTAATATCATCGTGTGT